TTGCGTGCTGATACATTTGCCAAATTATCGTTTTTGTGTTATGTACTGCAAGTGCTTTACCGTTATCGTCGACAAGAATGCATCTGTGGTTTAGCTAGACTATTTTATTAGTAGGCTAACGGCGACGACGACACCAGATTCTGTAGGCTAACGTGTGATTTTTGTTGCCATTTTGTCGCTGCCATTGTAGTCGTAATCGTCGTCATTGCTGCCATTGTCTTTTAAAAACTATAAAGAATTTAGTGTCCGTCCAATAAATTTTTGAACGCTATCTCGGTGTGGGTAAGACAAGATTTCTTTAGAATGTAGACTTCATTTTATATGTGTTTGTGTGTCTGTATTTTTCAGCCATTTGAACGGCGGAACTCTTGACCATCACCTTTTGTTTGTTAATCACTTCTGTTTAGCGAGGGATACAAAATGAACTTATTTGCGTTAAGAGGAAGTTGATGGTAGAAAAAAAGTAGTTCTTAACTTTTTTCTTTTTATAACAGATATCAGACGTTATTTTACTTACTTTCAAATAATTTACTTGTTTTTAGTAGCCCAAAGTTTGTTCACCTTTTTTTTTTTTTTTCCATTTCTTTCTTACAGCTCGTTGATTTTGATCGAAAATTTTACACTGTTATCTTGGTAAAGGTTTTGGCATAAGGAGATGTTCTTAGATAAATAAATACGATGCCAGTATTTCATTATGCTAATTTTTATTGCTTACTGTTATCTGTTTTACCTGTTACATCTGGAATTTTTTTGTTATTGTTGACTTTTTCCAAACAGTTTTTCATCTTTAACTACATTTATAACTTTCAATGGTCATTAACCAGTACCTAACCCTTTAAAGAACTACTGTTAAAACATATTCGTAATTTGTATGTTTTTCCTAATCTTGAAAAATCATTGTTTACTAAGTATGGATTTTGAATTGAGTCACATAGAAAATAATAGTGCTTTTGGGTATTATTCTCTGCCGTCTTCTAGGATAAAGCAGAAACAGTTGTGGACTTCTGTATGTTGCTGGTTTGAAAAGCATCGTTAAATTTCTGGTCGTATGACAACACTTGTACATTAGCCAGTCGAAGTATACTTGTCATAATTTTTGATGTCATTCAGTTAGTTGATTGAATCTTCAGCGCTTGTTTTTGCTTTCCATTTACAGTTAATTATGGCTGCCAATGAACTTGTTAACCTTTCGCTTGACGAAATAATTGCACGACAAGACAAGTTTAAGAAATTTGGTGGTGCTCAACGCGGTAGAAGTCGCGGAGCCCGAGGTGGCGGTTTTTTTAGAAACGGTTTTCGTGGTCGACCAATTCCAACCATTGGTTTAGTTCAGGTTAGCACTTCAATCGAACCGTTTGCTGTATTGCATTTTTACGTTTGCTCTGCTTTCAGTGTTTTCCTCTTACTTTTCTGGTTTACATTAAAAAAAAAGATTTAATGTTCCTTTCACATTTACACTAGCATATTATCTGTTCTTATTTTTTTCTTTTCTTGTTTGTTAGTTGTACATTGAAAGGAAAGAACATTACTTGTTTTATGTTTTTAAAGGTTGAAAACAAATATAACGAAAACCTCTTGTTTGATTCTTTAGCGTTTTACTTTTGTTCTGCTTTATCAAAAGCTAGTACCTTCCGGGACAACTGTTTTACTTCCACTTTAAAATGGGGCGTAACATAAAAAGAAATTTTTTTGAGGAATTTTGCTGTATAAGATTGTTTTCTATTTATTTTCAGTCGAGAACCGTTGTAATTCTACTTCACCTACTTGCTTTTTGTTATGTTTTGGTTATTGTTATGAACGGCTTTCTTGTTTTAAATTTATTTGTCTTCCAAGTTGGAAGCTTTATTAAGTCAGGTTTTGGCGTGACTTAGATTTAGTGTTTAGCGTCAGAAGTTTGCTGGTCAGGGTGGACAAAGAGTTTTCAACGAGAAATTATGTACGGTTCACATATCAAATCTTGGACCCATGGTTACCACGAGAGATCTGCAGGTAACATTTTGGTCAAAATTTTCAAGATTTCTTTTTAAAAATTTTTAAATTTGATTTCTCTGGTAAAAATTCTTAACGGTAGTTTTGGTGTATGATTTTGCACTTGAATGAAATCGCAAGTTTTTAGCGGGGAACAGTTTTAGTACTTGGAGGTTATAATGCTTGTATCCATTGTATTTGAACTGATTTTTAATTTTCTCATAAATTGTTATTCTGACTCGAAAAATCCGTGTCCTATTTCTTTATTGTACACGGGCCTCATCTTTTTGTTTCATTCTTCAAGATTTCATGACATAATTACTAGCTTTTTATGTTGCCTCATATTGCAAAGGTTGTGGAGGTTTGCTATTTTAGCACGTCCCTGCTAAACGAGACTGAGTGGTTTTACCTGGCAGCCTGTTTGCTGACTATCGAGTTTTAAAACTAAACTTCACACAGTCATTGCTTGATAAAGATTCTGCTACCTAATTAAGACCTGACGCAATTTATTTTAAAAAAATGAGTTTCTCCTGTGGTTTTAACCGAGTTCAGTTTTTTCGCGACCTATCAGTTTTTTCTGTTAGCTGACAAATATTGAAAAAAAAAAAAAAAAACGATTGATTTTTTGCTGCGTAACAGTCAGACAGTAGAAAAACGTGGTCTGGGCACAGTTTTAGTTCATGGTTTTGCAGTTCTGGGAAACTCCAGTAAGATTTGTACTTTTGTTACTAATTATTGCCATTAATTTTTAGGAACTTTTTGCCCGCCACCCTTACGTTGATATTGCAGTCCACTATGATCAGCGTGGTAACTCACGTGGAACAGCAGTTGTGCTTTTCCGACGTTTCGATGAAGCAATGCAGTTAAAAAGAGAATTTACTGGTGTCAAATTAGATGGTAATTTTTGATAATGGAAGGTTCTATTAAAACTAGAATAGCTGCACTTTATCGAGCTCTAACGGAGGACTTTATAATATTTTGTGTGGATTTAGTCCGGATTAGGCAAGCAAATCTAGATTTTTTGAAGAATTTTTATTTTTTTAGGCCGTTTAATGGAACTTTATGCAATGTCTAACTCGTCCACATCTCCGGCTACCAGGGTTCTTCAACAGGTAGCAACTATACATAAATCTTTTACTTTTTTTGTTTACTTTGTTGAAAAGTTATTCCCACAAATCTATTTCAGGCTGAATGTTTCTTTAAAAATGTAAAGCGGATGACAGTTTTGTAGCTTTTTGTTTATGGAGTCTTAGCATTTTAGTGTATTGTCGTTATTATGCTTTTATAAAATTAAAAAAGTCTTAAAAGTTTGTTTAGGGTCGTGTATCTAAATCTCTTAATAGGCGAAAATCAGGAGGATTTGGTTCAATAAAAAGTCCCGATAATTTCGGTGGTTTTCGAGTTTTAAGAGGCAGTCGGAGTAAAATGGTGGGTAATAGGCGCTTTCAAATGACTGCAGAAGAACTGGACAAAGAGCTAGATGCATATATGCGGCAAGCAAAACATACTCGAATAGCGGCGCCGTAATTGTTAATCTCATTTTGTTGACCTGCGAAGTGAATAATCACTCTCCTAAACTTTAATTTTGTTAAAGAATGATGTTACGAAATTTGTATTTTTTTTTCCACTGAACTCATTGGCTCATGCAACTTTGAAAAATGTCCCTGATCTCATTCTTCTAAAAGTTTCTTTCCCCTCTACTTCATTAAGTGAGTTTTGAGCAAGTCTGTTTTAAAATTTAATATCATCTTTTTGATGTTTTTATTTGGCTTTAATTTGTAACTGCTTATTCGTCATTGTTTTTGTTGTTAAAATGTGAGATTTGAGTTAGCGGCTTTTGCATATTACGTTAATGGACATTTGTGTTATCATTCTGTATCTCACCCACTCCCTCGCTCCAGAGAGTTGCCACGTTTAGCTACTGCAGAGTAGTTTTTGGTCTAGTGGTATTCACTCATTTGTGAGAATAATCACAACACTATTTTAATGATCCAAATCACATTCTTAGATTGTTATTACCGTAGATATCTAAGGCTGGTGTGCATTTCTTGCGCAGGTGGCGCAAGTGTTTGCCTTATGTTGCGTCTGACTTGTCGCTCAGGCTTAGTTAGTCATACGGTTTTAAAAGATTGGAGAACTTCCCTGGAGATCACAGGAGTGGTTACCTTTAAGCTATAGATGTTGACGTCGGACTCGTGGCTGCTTTTTGTTAGTCTGAGTTTGCGAAATTGCTTCTGAGTTCTGGCAGTCTTAAAGTGCATTCATTTTCTCCTTGGAAGCTGTGTTAAGTTTAATTCTCAGGAAATGCAGTTGTATTACCATCTTAATTGTAACTACAGTTATAGAAGAAATAGCACATCTTCCAGAAGACGCATTTAGGTTAGACGGGTATAGAACCCTACAAATTTATAAATCTTGAGGGTATTTCAGTGTTGGGACGGTATTTTACCTGGATTTTATTGCATATATGGAGATCAGAACAGCAGGTCATACGGGTTGAAAATTTTCGAGTTTCAATGACTGAAAGACATTAGCAGCAATATGGAAGTCATACAGTGAACAAAGAACAAACACTTTTTGGTTAGAAGACGTAATATACGCCTAATGCACATGAAAGCAGCTCCTCGTCCAGCAATGGGAAACAGGTATTGTCTCTGATCTTTCAGTTTGATCTTTCTACTAAAATCACCAAAAACTTATTAAAGAGGTGGACGAGATGCGAGTTAACAACACCTTGATGGCATTCAGTTAGCACAAGAATGCTACATTACACTAGAGCGATGCTAAAAAGCTAGTAAATAACAATATCACCAATGTTAAAACCACATTTCCGGTAAAAGGCAAATCCTTTAGTACACCATTTCTACATTAGATAAGATTTGTTCACAATATGAGTAACTCACAATGGATGGGAACATGTCTAATGTAGAAAAAACGTTTGAATCCCTAAGTCTCAAAGTAAAATTGAAAAACTCGTCAGTTGATTGCTTTTATTTTGCAGCGAAAAGAGAGTGAAAGCTGAGAAGTGGAGTGATGGCTGTTTATGACACCTAAAACTTTTAAACAATAGCTTGGGACCTTTGATGCTAAGAAACCTAATAAGTGCCCAAACCTTATTCAATTCCACAGTAAATACCACCATCTTGTGTTGAAAGCTGACTCTCATGCCTCTAAAGCAGTTTCACGGGATTCGGCCTACACGCTACAACTGTTTTAGTGAGCCATAAGCATTTATTTTAATCGCGCTGACGCTGAATAAGCAAAACTGACGCGGTTCTCCAACCTTTGACAAACTACTAACTCAACTCTTAACTTTCTGCTAGAAAGTTTTGTACAACCCCCCTCCCAATTACTCGGCGAACTGTCAGTGTTGAAACAGGGGTGGCTATCCGTTGCTGATATATAGCGACATGACCACAACTGAGTGCAGACTCAAAGACCAGCTTAAAAATGAGGCCTACGAGAGCAAGATGCTCGTGCAGCATGAACTGGAAGTCAAAAATCAGAGGGCATGGAGAAACTATTGGTGCTGACAATTGAAACAGTCATCTAGTTTTTCTCATCTCGCAGCTGAGAAAATTAAAACCACTGGGATTTCATGCTTGGTAACCCTACTACTTTACTGCCATTACATATACACCTTTAATAAAAAACAATTGAATAAAGTACCTACAAACCATGAATCCCTAGGCAAGGGTCAAGCAGAGGTTCTAAGTCAAACCTTTTAGCAGTCAATGAGGTTTGGAAAAACAATTCGAAGTAACGAAATGGTTTTCATGTAGACGGAGGTATGTAAATCCTTGTTATGAAACCGCCCGCAACATGATCACAGTCGGTATTTTCAACGCTTCTTGCCATATGCACTGTTTCCGACTCCGAAGCAGCCTTTTTCCTTCAAAAAATTCCATTATGAGTCTCAAATGCGCAATTTTATTTACTAAAACTGTCAAACGCTCATGCTTTCATAGTTAGATGAAGTCCTGAAAAACATTTTTCAAAAGTTTTGAATTACCTGAACTTAACTTGATCAAACTCTATATTTTCTAAAGATGACTCATCCACCTCATCGGGCATAATTTCTTGGGTAGATAATGCAACTTTCTCTTTTGATATACGAATGACTGTTTCGCCAGTCGAAAAACACTCGCCTGTTTCTATCTCATACGGCTTTCTTTCGGGTGCAAATAAACGCTCAATTTTCTTCTTTTGAGCTTTCCTTCAAAAGAAAAACATGAAGTGAAAAATTTCATCGAAAGTTACATTAAACTCAAACTCTCATCATTTAAAAGAGAACATAGGCGAAGGACAGTTCCTAAACCGCCTCATATGGTCGATAAGCTCTTACTCTGCAACTGCTTCTTGGCCATAGCACGAACGCTTTCCATCAAGTTTTGCACCAGAAAGAATATTTATTTGAACCGTATGTGGAGCAACTGCAGCGCCGTCCCTATCTTCCTTCTCTTTATCAGTTGCGATGCGCAAAGGTATTCTTTGCTTTATAGTACTAGGCATCAAACCTAAATTAAATAACAGTGGAAACTCGGTTGGTGTCACATTAATTTTGAAGATCTCACCTAATTTCTTAGTAAATTACATGAAACTGATTAGTAAAACAGAAATAAAGTGGTATTAGCGGATGTGTTAGGAGAATAATGTGGCAAAAATGTCCTACATGAGTGAAAAACGTGCTCTTTCATAAACCGCATAAAACGATCTGCATAGAAACTAGGGTTGTGCACTGATACAGTATCCTAAAAATTTTAGCCAAATCAATGGAATAATGCAAGAAGATACTTAACGCCGAACTGAAAGAAAATTGAAAAAATTAATTTTGTAAACTTGAAAACTTCTCTATTCATACAGTAAGAATTCGTTAAACAAACCGCCTTATACAATATGCTTTTCCATGTGTGTTCAAACTTTTTAAAAAATCGGTATTTCTGCAAAATGTCGATAACGCCTAAGAACAACACTAATTCTTGTCCTTTATGATTCCGTGCAGGAAAGACTCCACTAAAATATTACTACAAAATCAGCTGCCAATAAGTTTAGAAAAATAATTAGTAAATAATAGCAAAAATATTGAAATCCAAAACCCACGTACTAATAAGATAGGCAATAAAAATGTGTAGTAGACTAAAGCCCAAAATTCCTCACTTTTTGACATTATAAAAACAAGTAGAAAGAAAGTGTAATCAATCTCAAATAAGAATCTGATTAACCTTCTATATATTACATGATAAATTGAGAAACACCAATAACAAACACTTACGGTGAAATGTTAGACTCTAAATCCCAAAAACGAGACCTTCTACGTTTTGTTAGCTGTAAAAAACTATTAATTATATCACAAGGAAGACCGGGAGTCAAATTACATCACAATCTAATATTACAATTAAAGTGAAGGGAATAAAATCCCAAAAACGAACTTCGTTGGCACTTGAACATGCTCCTTCATTACAATCATCGTCCGCATTTACATCAGAAGATTCAACACGGTGAACCCCAACCAACAAACTGTAATCCATAATCTTACAGCTTTGAAGAACCTAAATCTAGTTCCGTAACTATAATCTTACACTATTTCCAGGAGAACAAATAAATAAATTAATAATTACCAAGCAGTCCCGCTCCAAAGTTTTAATAAGCGATTCATACTTGTCAGCTTCCAGATAGAAACCCTCATGGTATTTTTTTACAAAATCCAAATCCTTTAAAGTTGGGCATGCTTTAGCTTTTTCTGATCTCGACGCATATCTCTTGTAAGTAGAGCCTTTCAAATCATATTTTTCATGCATTGAAACCGACTGCGGAAGTAAGTTGTTCATTACAATAAGACGAATGTTTTTTCCAAGCTTCTAAAATAAGCCTTTATGTACGATAATGAACAAGTCAATTATATGTAAATTCTACTGCAATGAAAAAACCTATAATATCGAAAAAAAATAGGCATGATTAGATAAACAGAAAATCAATTAATAAAGAAAACAGAAAAAAAACTTTTCCTTTCCAAGTAATCGAATGTGAGTGGAGTTTGAAACAAAATAATACTTTAAATTACAAGGCAAGAAAACAACAAAAATAATAAAACGACAGCTCTAAAGCTTTAATAACGGATACCTGGTAACAAAAAAATCCGAAGAATTTTGGTAACAACGTTAATGGGTTCTGTTTTAAATTCTGAAAGAGAATCAACTGAGACATAAGTTAAGCTACACATTCATAAAGCGTTTATTTAAAACTATCTAATGAACTTCAGCCAATAAATCATCCCCTCAAAATGCATAATTCATAAAAATACCGACTGCGAAAACTAACCATAAAATATGAAGGCAAAAGACTCTGAAGGAAATCGGCCTCGTTATGTTGCACCGTTTTTATAATAAACCTTTCGTCAGATGTAACGTAAAAGATAGAACCAGAAGCACCGGGGTTTGATAGCTCTTGAAGCGGTTCAAAGCAAATGGAATGCTTAAATTCATAAAGTGAAAGACTAAGACCAAAAAAAAAAAAAATAACAATAAAATATTACTAATAATCAGAAATTACTGCAGTAAGGAGTTTATTCCTAAACTGTCACAGATGATGCTTTTAGAAACTTTAAAAAACTAATGAAAATGTTCATAATTCTCACACCCATAGCAACCCGTTACAGAAATCACAAAAAATGTCCCAAATCCCAAAGCACAAGAACTAACCAGAAAATCAGCAGTTTCTATATTAAACAACTTTCTAAAGTACCGAAAGGCTATTGGAGCAAAAGTTTGAAATCGAAAATCACCAAAGTTATGGGCTGGCGTTACTTGTGAACCGTTTCTAAAACAAAATGCACCGCATAACAAAACTTTTATATAAAAGCAAACGGAAAGGGAAAAAAAGAGAAAGTGTGAACAGCAAAACAACGACAATTAATGATTCCAGAATTTAATAACAACTAACGATGGGAATGAGACAGTCTCCACCATATAAAAGTCAGTAATTAGTATATCGCGAACGGGGACTGAAGCAAGAGATCCGACCGCATTTGCAATTCCCATCTGAACTGCGCCCATAAGCGCATTTGTGGGTACACGTTTATAACTAACCTAAATGGAGTGGTAAGAAATCCGAAAGATGTGGGAATACTAACAAAAAAAAAAGAATTGCTGAACAAGATTAAGGCTGAAATACTAGAAGAATAAAAAATATTATAAAAAAATGTCATCAATAAGTATAACACACCTCTCCTTGTTTATCAACTCGACGGTGACCAATTTTCTGCTTCTCAAATTCTTCTTGAACACGTGCTTCATCACCTGCACAAAGCAAATCTTTTACTACGCCAATTACAAATCAAAACCGTCCACATAGAAAAAAAAAAGATAAAAAAAAGAACTTTGTTCTTTTTTTGATAAAAACTTTCTTTGGGTAACCCACTCGTATCAGACCTGTAGCATTTTGCGACACTGTTGGTTCACAGTGATCGTTGTTGTTCAGACGCCCATCAACAGGCTGAGGCACAAACCTCATAGTTTGTAGTGACATTATTCCTTATTTACATTTTGTGGCAGTAATCGAATCCACAAAAAAAAATAAAAATCCTTCTACAAATCCTACAATTATAACAAGATTTAAACAGAAATATATTCAGAAAAAAAAAAATCTGTTGAAGGTAAACGACGAAAAAAATAAGAAACTACTTTAAAAGGTTGGAAAAGGTGTCTGAGACAACCGACCATTTATCGATACATTTTTGTAGCAAATTATTACAGAGATCTCTTTTTTCTCTCCTTTTCTCCATCATCAAAATGTGAAATGGAGAGAAAAAAAACATGAAAAACCAAGAAACAAGAAAAAAAACTTCAAAAAATTATTTAAGTTTTAAATTTGCAATTAAGCAGACAAACAATTTCAAATTTTTCAAACGAATAAAGGGGAAAGAAATAGCAGCAAACAAACAGACACAATAATGAGGCCAAATTTTGTTTGGTCATCAGCACTCAGCAATTGAGCAGCGAGGGA